TGTAAGGTGAGCATCAACAACTCAGTAGAGTAACTTAATTTCCAAGCAAACAAATTTGAAAATAGTATAGTTTAGCATGATTGGGCAAGAATCCAAATGAGCATTTGATACACATATGTCAGCAAAAACATCATTTCATGTGAAACTATAACAGTTAAATAAAACTGTAAAAGAGAGTTCAGAAATTCAAGTACAATGCTACACTGGTGGGCAATTCATCCTAATAGACCACAAAGGGTCCATACGAACATACGATCCAACCTTTTGGGGAACTTCCACCCCGAGGAAGATACACTCCCTAGTCAACATTTAGTACCCAAGTCCAAAGACCAACAAGGCCACCCAGACATTTACAAACTCAATGAGTACTCTCTACGGCCTCAAACTAGAATGTAAATCATTTTGCCACTCAACCCATGTGCACTTATATTTCCATAAAAAGGATCACGGATTTTCATTCAATATGAACAATTCAATCAATAATATCATTTCCAAAACATTAGTGCCACCCACACTCAGAAACCCTATATCCGGGTCTGGATCCAAGTTAATATTCAAAACACTCAATCAGATATTTCAAAACATGTTAAAGCATCATAAATAAATTATGAAATAATTTAAAAACAAATTGGAAAAGCATCGTTTGTTCCGAAATTAAGAAACCCTACCCGCTCGGTATTTTGATCTGAAATAACCAAAAATTAAATAATGTTATTTTTTGATAAAAATTAATACACATACTCAATTAACCTACCTAAGAATTAATATACAATTTATTTTCTCAAAATCACTCAAAACTAGGTCAATTTGACCCTAGAGGGCAAAACAGTCATTTTACTCCTCATTTTGATCTGGCCGTCGTATCAACTTGAAATTTTACCGAAACCTCTGCATGAACATTACGGAGCTTTTGGCACAAACCAGAGGTCAATCAAATATCAGATGAAGCCAAAATTTCTGTCGGTGTCCACTGGTATCCCCCACCTCACTTCATCTTCAACCTTAGTTTATTTCACTTTTGCTGTAAGTGCAGAAATTTCTGCTCAACCACCCTACTTTGGCCACCTGGTTCTCCCACTACAATACACCATATCCTTTGATTTTAACATCCACATACTTCTTGGATAACCTAGTATCAATCCCTCTTAGACTCAACCTTTGAATTGAATTCTAACATCATCAAATTATTTGTCAAAATTGGCCAAAAAATCATTTTTTTAAACACAAGGGCAAACTTGCAACTGCCTATTTCACCCCTAAAATAACCTCTAAATCTAATTTCGAGATCGGAAATGGATTCCTTGACCCCAAATTAGCTAGACCCAAGCCCCCTTTCAAAGCTTAAACAAGTTTTGATCAAAATCAAATTTTCACTTCTTCAAAACCCTCACACCACCATTACACCACCACAGCAAACCACCACACCACCACTAAAACAACTCCTCAAAACCCCCCAAACTCAATCATAAAAAACAATTAACCCAAATCAAGCTCAAATCTCAAACCCGTTTCAAAGTCCAATAACCCACTAAACTTTAAAACACAAATCCGTGCATTAATACTAAACCAAATCAAAATCTAATTATATATATGAGTTCCTAACATCCATATTAGACTATTAGTATACCTCTTAGTGCTCGAAGTAGTCTATGCAAGAATCCGAAAATGCAAATTCTATAGTTTCTCTCTCTAACTTCTCTTTCTCTTCCCACCGAATCCTTCTCCATTTTATCCCCCCTTAAGCAACTCGCTCAGCTATCCTCAAGTAGCTGGGTGTCCTCCATGCAGCCTAGCAAGCCTCCATCAGCCACCTTGCATGTGTAGAAGAGTCTTAACACTTTCATGGCAGTTTGGTAATTTTCCTATTGTGTCTAATTTCAAAAATTAATTAAAAATATTTTTTTTTTCACAATCACATATATATTAAATCAAGCATTATAAAATTATATGTTAAATTTTTGGATAGCAAATTGACCTCCTGACCGCACACATCCAACGATTTCTAATTACCGAAACTCGGGTTATTACAATCTACCCACCTTAAAAGAAATTTTATTTGCGAAATTTACTTAGCTACACTCATGGATTCACAAAACATATCAATGTATCTATATTCAAGCTTCTAAAGTAAGAAAACACTTACCTTGACCCATTAGTCAATTGGTTTCGCAGTCATTTGATACACTCGTCCATATCTTAGATTTCCTTTTTCTCCACTAGATTGATTTTGTGGTGTCTTCTATCCTTGCATAGCATGTGGTTTTGATCCCTCACCCTGCTGATACCTCGGATAATTCTTTCTCTCTTTCGGTGGTAACTGTGGACATCTATTCCTCATATGTCCTATCTTTCCACAATGGAAACAAGTATGTCAATCCTTTGTATTATTACCACCTCCTGGTCCATTGTGTAGTCTGCTCTTTCCGTTGCTATTACCAGGTCGCGCATATGGATGATTCCTTGATCCTCCATTATTTCCATATGGCTGAATATTCCTCCTCTGAACTTGCTCACCTCGAAAATCCTTTAATTTCATCTCTTTCTCTATTATATAAGCCACTTCTATCATCTCACTAAAATTCCTTATCCTCAAAGGTGAAATTCTCTCCCTAATTGTACTGTTCAACCCAAGAGTAAAATGTTTTGTCTTCTTAACATCATTAGCTACATATTCACCAGCATGGTATGCTAATTCTTCAAATCGTGCCTCATATTGAGCTATACTCATCCCACCTTATTGCAAATTTAAGAAATCTAACAATAAAGCATCCCTAAAACTTTCGGTGAAATACTTACTGTTAAAAATCGTCTAAAATCTTTCTCACACCATACCTTCTACTGGTTCTCTTCCTTTAATAAGATCCCACCAATAATCAGCTTCTCCTTCAAACATATACGTAGCTAATCCCACTCTATCTCGTTGTGCAATACCCATAGCACCCATCACCTTTTTAACTTGTCATAACCACTTCTCAGCTTCTAAAGGTTTAGTAGTTCCTTGGAATGATGGTGGACATTGCTTGAGAAATTCTTTTTGCTTTTGCTTCTAAAGCTTTTGCTCTCTTGGAGGAAGGAAAAGCCAAGTCCCAACGACCTCCAGAATATTCTCTTGAAGTACCTTTATTGCTTCTCTGTTGATCATTTCGTTGTATGTTTCCACCATGGAACCATATCCCCATTCCTGAATATCTATGTGGAGATCGTCCCAAATTAACATATTTCCTATAAAACCACACATTAATTAACAACTAATCTACACATAAATTTAAAAATGACCCATATAAGATCGTGACCACGCTCTGATACCAACTTTGTCACACCCCAAATCGGCTCGACATGTGACATGTGTTACTTTAATTCACGGAATGTTATAATACTGAGAAGTCACGTAGCACAGCATAATTACCCACAATTTACAAACCACAAATTATTGTATAACCATATGCAAAACTTTTAGACTAACATATTCCAAACTATCACAACCTATTATTCAATTAAGTATACCTTACACACTAGGTTTTCTTTTATTCTACTACAAACTTTTGATACAACTGCCTAAGATATACAGAAACCTTGGTAGGCTATTATGTACACATCTCTCAGCTTTCTCACATCTAAAAAAGGGAAAGTAACGTAGGGTAAGCATCAACAGCTCAATAGAGTAACTCAATGTCCAAGCAAACGAGTTTGAAAATAGTATAGTTTAGCATGATTGGGCAAGAATTCAAAACAAGCATTGGATGCATATATGTTAGCAAAAACATCATTTCATGTGAAACTGTAATGGTTAAATAAAACTGTAAAAGAGAGTTCAGAAATTCGAGTACAGTGCTACTGGTGGGCAATTCAGCCTAATAAACCACTAAGGGTCCATACGAACATATGATCCAATAATTTAGGGGACTTTCACCCAAGAAAGATACACTCCCAAGTCAATACGATCCAATTTAGTACCCAAGTTTGAAGACTAGCAGGGTCATCCAGGCATTTACAAACTCAATGAGTACCCTCTACGACTTCAAACTGGAATGTAAACTCTTTTGCCACTCGAACTGTGTGCACTTATATTTCCATAAAAAGGATCCCGGAGTTTCATTCAATACAAACCTAAACCATTATACCACCACACACCACGGCAAACCACCACTAAACAACTCCTTAAGACCCCCCCAAACTCAGCCATACCAAACAATTAACCCAAATCAAACTCAAATCTCAAACTCATTTCAAAATTCAAAAATCCACTAAATTTTAAAACACAAATTCATGCATTAATACTAAACCAAATAAAAATCTAATTGCATATATAAGTTCCTAATATCCATATTAGGTTGTGAGTATACCTCTTAGTACTCGAAGTAGTCTTTGTAAGAAATTCAAAAATTCAAACTCTATATTTTCTCTCTCTAAATTCTCTTTCTCTTCTCTCTATTCCCACCAAATCCTTTTCCATTTTATCCCCCCCTCCCAAGCAGCTCACTCGGCTCTCCCCAAGCAGCTGGGTGTCCTCCATGTAGCCTAGCAAGCCTCCATCAACCACCTTGCATGTGTAGATGAGTCTTGAAACTTCAATGGCAGTTTGGTAATTTTTCTATTTTGTCTAATTTTTAAAAATTAATTAAAAATAATTTTTTTTCACAATCACATATATATTAAATCAAGCATTATAAAATTATCTGTTAAATTTTTGGATAGCGAATTGACATGCAATTTGATCCGCTAATGCAACTCCTAATTCAACGATACGTACTAATTATACTTCGTCCATTTGTGTTTCACGACTCATTTCTTTTTCACCAACCACATTCCTACACCTAGCAGACCTCCTAACTGCACACACCCAACGATTTCTAATTACTGAAACTCGGGTTATTACAGTCAACCCACCTTAAAAGAAATTTCGTCCACGAAATTTACTTAGTTACACTCATGGACTCACAAAACATATCAGTGTATCTATATTCAAGCTTTCAAAGTAAGAAAACACTTACCTTGACCCATTAGTCAATTGGTTTCGCAGTCATCTGATATACTCGTCCATATCTCAGATTTCTTGGTTCCCCACCAGATTGATTTTGTGGTGTCTTCTGTCCTTGCATAGCAAGTGGTTTTGATCCCTCACCCTGCTGATACCTCAAATAATTGTTTCTCTCTTTCGATGATAACTGTGGACATCTATTCCTCATATGTCCTATCTTTCCACAATGGAAACAAGTATGCCAATCCTTTGTATTATTACCACCTCCTGGTCCATTGATTAGTCTGCTCTTTCTGTTGCTATTACCAAGTCGTGCATATGGATGATTCCTTGATCCTCCATTATTTCCATATGGCCGATTATTCCTCCTCTGAACTTGCTCACCTCGAAAATCCTTTAATTTCATCTCTTTCTCTATTATATATGCCAGTTCTACCATCTCACTAAAATTCCTTATCCTCAAAGGTGAAATTCTCTCCCTGATCATACTGGTCAACCCAAGAATAAAACATTTTTTTTCTTAACATCATTAGCTATTATTCACCAGCATGGTGTGCTAATTCTTCAAATCGTGCTTCATATTGGGCTACACTCATCCCACCTTGTTGCAAATTTAAGAAATCTAACAATAAAGCATCCCTAACACTTTCGATGAAATACTTACCATTAAAACTCATCTCAAATCTTTCCCACACCATATCTTTTACTGGTTCTCTTCCTTTAATAAGATCCCACCAATGATCAGTTTCTCCTTCAAACAAATACATAGCTAATCCCACTCTATATCGTTGTGAAATACCTATAGCATCCATCACCTTTTTAACTTGTCGTAACCACTTCTCAGCTTCTAAAGGTTTAGTAGTTCCTTGGAATGATGGTGGACGTTGCTTGAGAAATTCCTTTAGAATCATCATTGACCTATTCTCAAGTTCTTTCCGATCATTTTCTTCCCACTCCCTTTCATTCCCACCGATTATATTAGGTACTAGAGGAATCTCTACATTCCTCACTCCTAGCACCTGTTCTAGCTGTGCAGCTGTATTTCCCGGGTTTCTAGTTAATCCCGGTATCTGAGTCTGGATTAGCATAGTAAGTGTAGCCAGACATTGATGTAATTGTTGTAACCCTCCATGCCCTGGTTCAGCAATATTCTCATTTTGTCGCTCTAGCTATTCATCCTGTGGATGTATCCACCTGTTTTCCATTTCTTCCCGGTGTGTTCACCATTTCCTAATCAAATCACAAAAAATAAGTGATTAGTTTCTTTACTTGAAGAAAAATCATCTTAAATTTCCCAACTAGCAATTAACCATAAGATATACTCCAAACAAAATTTATTTGAGCTTAAAATTCTCATTTACAACTTAATAACTTATTATATTTACTCGCCATTATTTATCATACAGTCACATATAATCACATACATGCACATACTTTAATACACATTTATTCATAGTCTAGAGTACTATCACGTTCCATTCTATCCACACTAAACTTCACACCCTCCTAATCTTCCACATCAGTAATAGTAGAAGTATCAGAATCTACTTCCGGTTCCCATGTTGGTACCTCCGATTCTGCCTCCAACCATCCATTTTGATTATTTGGAACTTGTGGTATCCTTCCATTTCTTTCTAGGTTTCTAGTCCTCTGAACCACTTCAAGTTGTACATTTAGCCTATTTTGCACAAGAGATTGTTGTTGTTCCGGTTCAAGTTCCCTCCAATTACGAGTCACTTCAAGCGTCTCTTCTATAGCTGAATGTAATGCCTTTGCATAGATTCAGATCCGACGTCTCCTTTCTATTTCATGGTGTTCCAATATATCCCCAAGCAGAAACAATTCATCCCAATGTGCCATAACTAGAATTGTAACTGCCAATCATCAATATAAACATCAATAATCATTCTATAAAAACAACTCATCAAATACTTTAAACATAGCCACCCCTTTTCACATCTAAACTTTTAGTAAAACAACTTATTACTAATGACAAGTCAAACAAAATATCAATAATTGAACGAAATATTATTTCGAAACTCAAACCCAAACGATATCACAATTTGAATACGAATAGGACAATATCAATAAAGTACTCTTTGCAAAGAGATTAAAGGAATGCATATTATGTATAAATCATTTACCCAATTTTCAGTAGAAATCAATATCTAATACCCGAGAATATCATACTTGAACTTCAATTCGAATGGATCGGAAACCTCGATTCAATTTTCTTGTAAAACTCTATGTTTGGATCTCTTTCTCCTTTTCTTTGTTTCGGCCAACAACTTCTCGTTTTCAAAACTTCCATCTTTTTCCTTAGGTTTCTATCCACTTGCTCTTTCCAAAGGACATACAAAATATTTGCTCTAACATTCTCTCTAAATGACAGCACACAGACTTTCATTGCATGAGTCGTAACTGCCACCTCACCATCTTTATCTTCTTTTTTTTGCTTCCTTTGTCTTCTTTAAGTAGGTCATTCACGTTAATGATGCCCAACCAACAAAAAGGGTATCTTCAATTATAGTTTGCAACCCTTTAGCTTCATTAATTATATATATGCCACAAAGTTTAATATTAATTATGTTTTTCCCCCACAAAACTTCATTTTGTTTCTACTTACTTAAATTCAATACTTCTATTAGAAAATTCGGGATCTCACATTTTTCTTCTTCTCTTTTTATCCCTAATTTTTTTCTTCCTAATTTACATCAATTTGGTATTAGAGCCCAACTTTGATTCATATAAATCACAAAAAAAAAATTGTTCATTGTGTGCACTCATGACCGTTCACTATTCATCGCGATTATTTTTGCATTGTTCTTGGTCTCATTCCAACCAACTAGCCAAAAAAATAAAATAAAAAACAAGAGAGGAATCAAAATTACAGAAACATCCCCAATAAAATCAAAAAAATTCAAAATCTCCCCCAAAAGTTTCAAAAATTACAAAAAACCCCCAAAAAATTTTAGAAAATTACAAAAATAGCATCCAGAAGCTTCAAAATTACAGAAACATCCTCAGGAAATTCAAAAAATTACAAAAACATCCCCATAAGTTCCAAAAATTGCATAATCATCCCCATAAAATTTTTGAATTTCAGAATTCCCTCAAAGCAAAGCTTGGATTATGGTATGTATACTTCTATAGAAATTTAAAACTAATATTTTTATTCATTGAAAAATTAAAAAATTTGCAAAGGGTCCAAGTCATTTGTCAATTACATTCTTGAACTTGTTTTGGTGTCATTCCCCTGTTCCGAGACTCACTCATGAGTATGTATGATGCCTCTAACCCACATATTTACTCTAGTTTAAGAGTCCCTCCTCGAGGTCATAATCATAGCAAGTGTAGGTATGTCTACAAGGATTCGACACCTATTTCCAACTCAATTAAAGACCTTTCTACATTTTGTGGTACTCCAGAGTTCAATCAATTCTTGGATTGGTTGTCTAATTTAGAAGAATATTTTGATTGACATGGTATGTCAGATTTTCATTGCGTCTGTTTTGCTAAATTAATGTTGGAGGGTACTGCCAAGAGGTATTGGCAAGCAATCCAAAGAAGCATAGACTCTTTAGGAGAATCACTTATCACTTGGGTGAAAATGAGATATAAATTGAAAGATAAGTATTTGCCTACTTCTTACACGGATCAAATTTATGACCAATGGCTAAATCTTAGACAACATTCTTCTAGTGTCTCGGATTACTTTGCCCACTTTGATTATCTCATGTACTTGTGTGACATTGTTGAAGAACCTTGGACAACTGATCAGTTTATTCTTGGATTGAAACCAAAAATTAGTAGGGAGGCCAAGTTGTACACTTTTAATACGTTAGTTGCAGCCTATCAATATACTCTAAAGGTTGAGAGATTTCATAAGAAATCCAATTATAACTTGATTGGTTCTCAATCATAGTCTACTAAACAACGTGACAGGACATCTTCCAATTTTAATTCCACCACATATGAGTATCATGATTACTTGAACGATGTTCATGTTGTTTCTGTATGCTTTCCTAATCTGAATGTGGCAAAGGATTTAGATATGCTAGTATTTGATAAAGAGAAAAATGTTACTCATATTGACTCCAACTCCTTCATTCAGTTTCATCATATCAGAGTCCTCCTCTTTTGCACCCACAAGAGTTCATATCAAAAGAAAGTATGTGTGAGTCTTTGCTTGTGTCAATTCTTGAATCATCATTGGTTTTGGAAATTGTGAAAAAGTTTGTTGAATCTACACCTATGCATGATATTAAGCCAATCGAGTCATTTATTGCAGAATCTACTAGTGACTATTTTGTGTCTACTTGTCCAAATCATCTTGACTTTGTTACGGATTCTTCCCAATCTAATATCGTTGACTTTGTTCCTCTGCATATTGCCAAGTGTTCACTTGAGTTTGTATTTAATTATTTTCAGCACAAAGGCGTTATTGTTACTTTTCTATCATTGAAGTCTTGTCCCACTGAATGCTTTTTGTTCAAGTNCAGATTCTTCCCAATCTAATATTGTCGACTTTGTTCCTCTGCCTATTGCCAAGTGTTCACTTGAGTTTGTATTTAATTATTTTCAGCACCAAGGCGTTATTGTTACTTTTCTATCATTGAAGTCTTGTCCCACTGAATGCTTGTTGTTCAAGTCTAATGGAAATTATTTTGCTATTCTTGAATTTGGATCTAATACTTATTTGCCTAATTTTTTTATGGAATGTTAGTATTGTTCCAGATTTTTATTTGGAGGACATGCTACTTAATCAAAGTATTCAAGAACCTCATATTTTGTTATCTAGTGTTTCTACAAGTGGAATTGCTTCTTCTCTTTCAAATCCACAATTCCTAAATACCTACCATCAATCCTAAACATATTTTCCCTTGAAAATTGACACTAATAGCATACCCACATCAAAATCAAAACTAAAATCCAAACTATCCCTCGCTACCAAAATTCATAACCCAAAACCCAACTCCTTTTCCTATGCTTGTAAATAATCAAACACAAACTATTTTTAACAAAATTCCATACCAACAAGAATTACTCTCTTCCAATTCTGCAAAAAAAACTTGTTCCGAATTTACAAATCCAAAGTAGAAGGGTTTCGTTCTTCGCAGATTCCGAACCAAAAACCTTCGCAGGAGAACTTCTTTTTCTCTCTCTCCAAGTTTTCTGAATTCCCTTATCTGTCAGTCCTTTTTCCTTCTTTTTGTTGGATTACTTTGGCCTTCACACACACACATTCTCTCTCTCTCTCTCTTCTTATGTTTTTTCTTTCCTTCCCCTCACTCTCAGTAACCGACTCATACTCACACATTCACACATATACATATATATATATATATATATATATATATATATACATATATATATATATACACACACACACACACATATATATATACATCATCTAAGTAATAGCCAAAAAGAAACACATGTCCTCTTAATGACTCATCCAATCCCTTAATTACACTAAAATCACCCTGATAACGCTAACCTTCCCCCTTGTTTCACTTATTCCAACATT